GTCCGAAAATCTTCCAAGAAAGATTTAATAACTTGATTTGGGTTTGATTTGACTCAGATTGAACTAACTTTGTTATCATTAGGCTTGTCTCATCGAGTCGGTCAGTTTGACTATAGGTTTGCTGAAATCAGAGCTCTGGATGACTTTTAATTAAAGTTTGAATGTTTTTTGCTCAAAAGATTGCCTCGAGAATTGTGTTATGCCTCGAGATTCGTGATGGATGATGAAAATTTATTGATGGCGTCTATGTATCATTAATAAAGTATTCTAAAATATTTTTCTAAGGAATTCTTAAGTATATATTCGCCTTGTTGGTTGGCATTCGCTGTATAAGACCCCTCAAGTGGGGGGTTTGAGTCAACTCTGACACAGACACACAGTTGGTCTTAAGGAAGTGGTACTCAAATTATTAGAAATATTCGGGTTAGTTAGAGGCTCATATAATAGCTTTGATCATTCCCTTTTTAATATATATATATATATTTATATAAAAAGATAACCTATATTAAAAATGCACTAAATAAACGCTTTTTTTAAAAATAAAAATAAATACTGCTTCGTACATATAGAGTTGGATATAAAAATTGATAGTGCCTTATTAAATAATAAATCCTTTTATTTTTTATTTTTATTATCTTTTTAATAGCAGCTGCACCAAAATAGCCGAAAAATGATCAACTAAGCCCATCTGCCAAAAGCAAATGGTAAAACTCATCCAGGCAGCTATGGGACCTTTAAATAATATTAAACCGTAGGCATAAGACAAGCTTTATATTCTCATCATACAAATTATATTAGTCTTGCTTGCAATTATTAGCACTAATTCAGAGCTTTCTGGCTACAATTAAAAAGTCTTTGTCTCGACTGTTCACACCCTAATCAGAACCACAAATATAGGCAGCTCTAAGAAATGTTGATGTGACATTTTGCCAAAGGTCCATTCTTTAATCTAAATCGTATTTTATTTTGTCGGCAAGGGGATTGTCATATTGTCCGACTGACTGTGTCATGTATAAAACGTGAGCAGTTGTGACTCAAAGATAATAATTAAGCTTGCCTGATAATGATTTAAATTTAGGGATGGGCAACACTCTTTATTTTGAAAACATAGCTTAGAAAAAAAAGGTCCCTAAACAAATGGTTTAAGATGAATTTTTTAAGTTGTGAAAATGTAAATTAAAAATATGCGAGCACGAATTTTAAGAAAAATAAATGGTTGGGAGGAAGGGACTACCGATCAGACATGCTCGATGACAGCGACGGATTGTATGCTAGAGTAGAAGACTTCTAGATCGAGCAATCATGAGAACTTACGAAAGGATTCCGCATAAGATTGGTCGGTTCTCAGGCCGATCGACAGACTACTCAGCTTCAGAGAAGACGGGGGAAGCTGCCGACAAACCTCTTACCGACCAAATCAATACCCAATTCTTCTTATATTCAAATTTCTATGTTATTAATATAAGATCTCTCTAAAGACTATTGATAAGGGGTATGATTAGTAAGTTTCTGAGACTGAGACCTATTCCTACAAATAGGGGGTCCATATCATGAATAATGGCCATGCATTCTAACTATTCTCAACTGTACCCTGTCTGATTTTCCCATGCAAAAAGTTATATACTTTGGGTGTATTTCGCGGACACTCTCAGATTCAACATCCTATAAGATGTGGTGAGCGTGAAAGCATGTAATAAGAAGAGGAGCTCAACAACAACAACATTGAGAATCTAGTCAGAGGAACATGATAGAAGCGTCATGCATTAGAGAGTTTCTGGAAGAATCATTCAAATAGGCTTGCAACACTTGAGGACCTAGATCAACAACCAAATGTTAAGATAATTCGCAGAGGTGCTAAGAGCAGTAGCTACCTTAGGGGCAGTCCCAATTCCCCAAGTAGAACCGATCTAGCAAGGGGACCCAACCCCCTCAAGAGGAACCATCAGTGAATAATGGAAGAAGAACATTTCACCTAAAGGAGAAGTTTGACGATGTGCTATAAGAAGACAATGTATGATTTAACCCAGTGGAGGAAAGGAATCTATTAGTGTGGACCAAAATATAGTGGCAATCAAAGAATGCTTTCTCACTGCAAGTCTCAGGAGCTAAACACCCGAAGAAATTTCTAATTCACATCCTAGAGTCATACAAAGGGAGGTAGGATCCCAATGAACACCTTGCATCATTTGAATCTTCAATATGCTAGGTTAAAATTTTTGATGCTCTCAAATGCAAATTGTTCTCCACCACACGTAGATCATCTGCGCTAAGATGGTTTGACAGTTTACCCGCAAGAGTGATCAACTACTTTGTGGAATTTAGGAGGCTCTTTCTATCATTGTTTGCTAGCTTCGAGACACAAAAAGAGTCCAGATCCTTATGAGAGCAGAAATAAGGAGTTAATAAGAGATTGTGATAGTTTATTGCACAGTTTTAGAGGAAAAAGTTGGATGTGAAAGACCAGAAACTTGACATGGCCCAAACTGTGCTAACCAGAGGGCAAGGTTGGAGAGATTCTGCTTTGTACTTGGCCTGATGAAGCTGCAGAGCCTGGTTGAGCTGTTTGAAATGACCAATAAGTACATGGCTACCTATAAAAACTCCCCTGCCAAACAAAGAGACAAAAAGGGGCCACCACATGACAACAGAAAGAAATTAAGATAAAAAGAAAGACTGATCGTCTGCCCATGCTATGAGAATCACCCCAACAACAACTTTGCCCATCCTTGCGAGGGTCAAAGGAGGCAGATAAAAGCCCAACAACACCAATTGTCTCATTATCACGAGCAACCCTAATACAACTACAAGCCCACCAAGCGAACCATTTAAGGTGTCCATAGCAGAAATAGTGGACACCATTCAAGATAAGTAACTATTTAGGAAGGGCACCATCGATGAGTGTCGGTGCCTTCTCTGAGATAACAGGAAAATTGCAAGTATCACAAAGACCCTGTACAATACAAATAAATGCAAACACCCTTAGAACCTAATTGAAAAGTTGACAAAAGAGGGGAAGTTGAAAGAATTTGTTGCCCCTAGGGTCGCGACCTAGGGGCAGGGCAAAGCTCCCGTGGGGGGAACGACTGATGGACATACTCTCACAAAAGCCATTCACATTGAAGGATAAGTGCCAGCCATATTTGGAGGAAGTGAACCACCCAGAAGGATTTGTAAGAAGAGGCAACAAATAGGGGAACTATGTGCAACAACCTTCGCTCCATAACCCAAGGGCCAACCACCTATCTACTTTACTGATGAGGATCTACCATAGAAGAGAAATCCCTACAATGATGCTAATATATTAAAGGTACACTAACTCATGAACTTCTATATTCTCGTTCTAATGAATTTTAATTTATAGGATGCTCAAATAGTTATTGGAATAGTGATCAGGATGATTAAAAAAAATTACAACTAAGTGTGTTTTTATTTTATATGGGTGACACTGCGCTCACATAACATTCGAAAAATAATTGATTATTTCTCTCTCAAAGTATTAAGTTGAGTATATTACAACACTATCATGTGCGTGTCATACAATATAGCTATGGAAGCTACTAAAAAAATTAGATATTTTCAATACTAAGCTACAAAAATCTTTGTTGACAACAAATCAACAAAAAAAATAAAAAATCTTGCTCATCATGAATGAAGCAAACATATCAATATTCATTTTCCATATGTAAGTGACCAAATAAAGAATCAAGAAGTTCAAGTGAAGAATATTTGTGAGAACTGAAAATGAAGTTGTAGATATTCTTATCAAACCATTAGCTACGAAACAATTCATAAAATTAAAGATACTTTGTGGGAAAGCCAATGAAAATTTTGATTTAAGGGAGAGAGTTTGGAAGTAAAGAAAAAATATTATTTATTGGAAATATGTAGAAGAATGTATTTACTAAAGTCTTCTTTTAGTATTCTATATCCACTAGAATCTAGACAACTTAATTATAAACTTTTTTAGATCATGCTAGCATACTCAAGATTTATAGAATGATCTTTATACAAGTATAAATAGGTATTTAGCCTTGTCATTTTCACTATGAATCAAAATAATAAAATTCTTCTTCTTTTATTGTCTACACAAAATTTTGATTCGCATCTTTATAACCTCCACATATATAGTTACTTGATCATATAATCTTCAGTTGACATTGTTGTGGACAGTCCTATACTTAAAGAATATGACTCAATATTAAGAGGTGTTTGATAGCATACTTTTAATAAAATCTAGCGGTGTCCAACACTCTGTCAAATCAATTTTTTTCATGATTCGTCTCTTTTTCTCGCATTCCGTCTATTTTTATCAAGTTTTATCATTTTTAAGACGAAAATCCGGATTTAATAATTAAATCAGGTTGAATGATGTGTTAACGATTTATTCTATTGTCGCTTACGAGCTCCATGACAGTTTTCATAGATTTATAAAATTATTTTCTAAATTTGATAAATAATATTAAAAGTAAAATCTTGGTTTCACCCAAACACCACCTAATACACACTCAATTCAAATAGCATTGTCCCAGCTCTATCACAAAGCTACAATGTTCCTGTCATCAAATTGGGCTCCTGTATGGCTCCTTGAGGTGTAGTTGTAAACGCAAAAGCAAACGCTACCCGTCACTTTATGCGGCTGATTTCTAATGTAGATCCTTCCAGGCGCCATGGACTCAAGCTCCACCTCCTCTTTCACGTGCTCTGTTTGGACCAGATCTATTCAGAATCCCTCGAGGGCAGTCACAAGCACTGTACCCAAATCACTTACACCTTTACTGCTCCTTTGTCGATTATAATGCCTCTTTGGAAGCTAAAGTGCATGCTAACCCTTTTGTCCATTATACGATATATATATATATTGAATGAGAACAATAAAAATTCATTTTCAATTAAATTAGTTACCTTATCCTTCCCAAAATGACCAATTATATATATATATATATATATATATATATATATCTATAACGTTACCGTACACATCTTTAATAAATTAGGACAAACCAAAAATGCAATAGAGAGAGAGAGATGGTGTACGTTTAAAGTGGAAAGGAAAATGGAAAAGATGGGAATTTTAGATATCTGAGAAGATGCCAAGCACTTAGTTTTCACAATGGTTGTTTGAGTAATTCCAGTGATCAAAGATGCATCCTGATGACCACTCCAGTCTTTTCCTGTCACCATCTGATTTGGGTTTGCACGCGCCAAGAAACAAGTAGGGGGTTTCTCCTTGGGAACAGCAAGCCTACCCTTTCCACCATTAGATGTCAGCTAAAGGTTCAGTCTCAACCAACCATCTTCCATTTTCTTTTTATTTCTGGCCAAGCAAGCTCTTACTATCCGTCAGTTCCTGACCTTGATCACGCCAGGGATCTCCTCTTCCGGCCTCTGGTCTCAAGCATCACTTCGCCCCTCTTAGGTCTTTTTCTTCTCTTGCATAAAGTAGGTGCGCTCTCTCTCTCTCCGTCTTTCTCTCTCTTTCTCTCTCTCTGTTTATAAAAATTTGTTTTGGAAGTTCAGTGAAGTGCTCTCTTATTATTTTCCAAAAAAGGGACTTTCTTTTCGGCAAGTTATGTGTCTTTTATCTCTTATTTATTATATATATATATATATATATATATATATTATTCAAGGAAGCCTAAATTTTAAGATGCGGTTAGGGATGGTATAGAAATCAATATAGAAACTACTATAAGAAGAAATTTCATATATTATATAAGACCAAAAATTTTTTTTTTATTTTTTAGGGTTTAGGGTTAATAAAAAAAAATTAACAGTAATCTTATAATTAATAATATATAT